CCCCAAAACCCCAAAACCCCAAAACCCCAAAACCCCTCTTCCTTTAAGTTTATAGAACCAATTATTACTTATTCATTGCCCATGTTCAAAGCCTGGAGGATTCTATAGTTGTAGGTCTTGTCATAAGCAATTCTTCAAATCAATGAGTCTCATGAGACTAGTTTAATGACTACACTATCTTTATCGCCTATTTTGAAGTAAGAGTTAAGGATTGGGTATTACAAGTCGCCTTACTTCCTTTAGATCTCTTGGGTGTATTATCTGAGTCTGGAAAATCCTCAATATCTCTATAAGATTATTAGATCTTGAGAACAATCAAGAAAAAGAGCGAGATCCAGCAGAATGAATCCCTAGTAAAATGGCAGGTTAGTCAGTGAGGGCTGTGAGTTCTATATCCTACTTACCTGAAGATGCCAGCACATCTTTTGCATATACTATTTTGTTCCTCAAGCTTAGCTCTGAATTTGTTAAAACTTCCTATAAGATAATTCTTCCAAAATGCTCAAAAGTCGATCTTACTTTGCATAATTAAGGCTTTAACGCTCTGGTGATACTTAGTACTTTCATTGTTCTTGTCCCCTTGTCCTTGAATTATGAATTTGTTGGAACTTAAAAAGGATGATAATCCTGTGATCCCAATAGGGTACCTTTGTATGATCGTCCGGTCTTTCATCCAAACCCTTACTTCAGTATTGAAGATGTGAAATACCCTATCAAGAACTTTTTCTAGCTGCTTTTTAGCAGTCTGGGCAAGCTTGACTGTATCAGGAAGGCCAAAAGCCTTTGATTCGTCTTTATCAAGTTTCTCTTTCAGGAACAAATCGACTGATTCTAAGTCTCCAGAGTCAAGTTTCTTCCATTGTGACTCAAGATATTTCTTGGCTAAAGACATGTCATTCTTGATGAATAGGATATGTATTATTTTGTTCATGATCTTACTGACTATCGGGAGGAAGTCTCTACGGATAGTCTCGATTCCTTTAGATTCTACCTCAGGAGCACTATCAGGAGTCTCATATTTGAACCCACAGTACCGTTTCTTAGCAAGGTTGAACATTGGTCTATAAACCTTCTCATACTTCAGCTCCATTGGGTATGGATTTCACCTCGTGACTTCCTTGACAATAAGATTTGACGCTTCATAAGCTTCTTGAATTGTTAAATTTGGAAATTTGACAAAACAAGAGTCTGTGTCTCCATAGATAACAGTTGGCTTACATTTTTCTCTCAAGATTTTAGTAAAGCATTCATCTGACTCTGTGAAATTGATTGCTTCTTCAAGAGAGAGTCTCGCGAAGGATACGATAGCGTCAGCTATTTCGACACAAGGCATTCTGCCGCTAAATCCAGCTCCTGTATAACCGTATGTAACATTTGCAATCATCTTGAGAGCATATTGTCTTGAGTCTAAAACTCTATGATCATGGCTACCTTTCTCATACATCTTAATAGATTTCTTGATCATAATCCTGGTGTTCAAAATTTCAGAAAGCATCTGAGGAAGAAGTCCTCTCCTCACATGTGGCTTTACGAAAGCTGTGAGGTTTGGAGAAACTATTATGCTATCTATAATCTCGTCTTCCTGATCCTTAGATAGAGTATCCTCTGCTTGATAGCCAAAGAACTCTTTGATGTTCTTGGTTAGGGTAAATAGAGTCTTCTTTCTTCCCGTTTGATTTCCAAATGCTGACAAAGAAGCATTTTGTATATTCTCGTTTACTTCTATCTTTCCCAGACAAGTAGTGTATCACAAATTGTGGGATATTATTATAGACGGGTATAGACTTTGGAAGTCGAGAACAGAGACAGGGTCCAAATGGAAAGCTCTTTCTGGCTCCATTACTAGTGGAATTACTTCAAGAAGACTTTGATTCCAGACTTGCTCCTGTGTGGGACTGAGTAATAAAAATTTGTTAACTCTTGCAATACGAGACAGCATGCTCTCTACTCTGTATTGCGTCCCTCTGCTCTCTACTGATTGAAGGTCAATTCCATAAGTTTTAGCCATTGTTATACTTCTGTTAATCAAGTCAAGATTATCCATAAACTTGTAAGATAGCTCCATTTGATGGAAAATATATTCAAATACCTTGAATCTGCTAGGATATCCTTCAAGGTACGCCTTTTTCAAGATATCAAACGAATAATTAGGTTCTCTTTTCTGTAGCACTTCAAAAGCTACTCTATCAAGCTCATAATCCTTCAGATGGAGGTTGATTTTCATATTATCAACGACATTAATAGAAACTCTTCCTTGGCCTCTCAAGTCAAAGTATGCTTCCTCAGCAGAGAAGAATTTATTGCTCTTCTTAGCCATATTGGACAATTTAATATCTGTCCGAATCTTCTTATTTAGGTACCCAATAGACATTGTGTTAATGTCATAGCCCATGAAAATGTCTGGGTTGTATTCCTCAATTAAACTATGAAGTTTATCAAACACAAAGAACTCCTTGTTGACCAAATGGAGCTTGACATAGTCCTTCATACCAACTAGGATGCCTTTTCCTTGGTGAACCCTATCATGCTCATCTTTGATGAGGATAATATGCTTTACCATTTGATATTTTTCCTGAAGATCTAACTTAGCTCTCTCATCGTCAATGATCACTCAGATTCCAATAAATTCATCCTTTTCAGGGTTTGGCTTTTGGCCATCAAGAGTTAGGACGATTGGCTCTACCATCATAGTTGTAAGGCAGTGAATCGTCTCAAAATGGCTGTGTATGTCCAGTAAGGTTAGCTCACCGTTGCCTGGCCTTCTCCTCTTTCTTTTACCGCTACTGCTTTTCATCTTATTCTTGTTAGACTTAAAAACTGACATTTCGATCTCAGTTCAGGGAGAAATTCCTCTCCTAGTCAGCAGTCTGTTTTCTCGAATAGCATATATTTTAGTCTCTTCTGATATTTTCTCTAAAAATAGCAGAAAATCTTACTTGGATCAAATCCTTCACCGAGAGGGCTTTGGTCCCTTTTCCTAGGAGTAGCGTTAGTCCTTCTCATTTCTCTATCAATCCTCTTCTGTTGTTGGAGCATGCTTCGAATCTCATTGCCTGAGGGACTGATCTTATGATACTTCAAACTTCTCTCAGGAAGCTCATATCCCTTAAGGACTTCCTCTCTCGCACTTTTGTCATCAATTCAGAATTTATTTCCTTGTCAGCCTTTTGAGAGCAAAATCTGGGAGACGGAGATCCTCCCTGATTGTAACTGGCTTAGTTCTTTCTTTATACTCAAGTTTTCCCTTTAGTCCAGCATCATTGTAGGTTTTCTCATTTGGCTGTAGTTTGACTCCTTTTTGATGAAATGCATAGGCCTGGGCCCACTCTGAGTTCATTGCAGATTGGGGTAACTATAATTATACACGAAAGTTACCTTCTTTGTGCATTTGGTTTTTGGGTCGTAGATTAACTTATTAGCATAATGCAGCACCAGATCATTCTCATTTGAGTAAAAAATTCCTGATAACTTCTGAGCATCCTCTTCATGAGTTGGCAGTCTCTTTCAGATATTCATAACTTCTCTTCCAGAAGGAGCCTTCAGTTTATATTTCAGAATAGACATTGGGCTGGTTTCTTCCTTCTGAGACAAAGGCATCTTCTGAGATGTTGTTAAAGGTGTTTTATACTTATCTTTTCGAGTAAGATTTGTATCAAATTGGCTCTTTTCATCATCTAAACAAATATTGACTTCTTCTATCTCATTACTGATACAGGAGATGTCATCATCAATTTCTAGCGGCTCCTTAGACTCTTCCTTAGGAGGTTTAGTTCTAGATTTTAAGTTACTAGAGTTTGGATGATCAAAGAATTCAGTAATTTTTGTATTATCCATCGCAATAAGCTCCATTTTAGCCTCTTTAGCTGTCTTCTTCTTGTACATTTGTTTGAACTGCATCTTCATTGATGGGATAATATCAAGGGTGTCGACATAATCTTCAAATTCTATTTTCTCTGAGTTATCTCCTTGCTTGCATTTGTCAGCCCATATCTCTCTCATTTTCATGAGGTTTCTAAAATACTGATTTCCGTATCTTTCATCGAACTCGTTATGATCAAGGAGCTGAATTTCGAGAGGATTTCCTTCAGGATTATCAACTTGGTAACGTTCATACCCCTTCTCTTCCTTAGAGTAAGTTCGGAGGTTCTTCCTGAGCATCTCAAGAACCCTCTCGTTCTTAATCTGGTCATGAGGGATCTTTGTCCTAGTTTGTTGATCGACAGAGTCAAAAATGTTAGGAAGGGGTTGGGTGATTCCAAACCTCTTCCTTCTCGCATATTCATCCTTCCAGAGGGTCAACATTGATTTCACATATTTTATATTGGTCTTATAGATCTCACAAGCTTTGGATGCATCTGTCTGGACTGTCATTCTTTTCTTCTTAGTGGTTGCAGGCTTTACAGCAGAGAGATTTATATCAGAAATATCTACCTCTGTAATCTTTGGTGTATTCTTCTCTCTTCCACGAGATTTCGATAATTTTGCAATAGAGCGCTTGGATTTCTTGATGCTACTGATTCAATTCTCAAAGTAGCTGCTCCGAATAGATGATTCTCCAAGATGACTGCCGAATATCTCATTATAGTTATAATCGTTAGGATCAATAGCTTCTATACTTTGCCTGGGTATGATCCCACCAGCCATCTTTTGTGTTGAAAATTGTCTGCAATCTCTAGAGCTCTTCTTTCGGTTTTTGTAGAGATTATTTTATTTGAGTTTCTATCTAATTTACAAAGTATCTTACCGAGGCGGTCACCCTCTCTGATATAAATCTCTGACTTCTTTTTTGTTTCTTCTAGTGATTCAAGCTCCTCGTCTTCAAAGTCAAAGCTATCGACTTGTGAGGGAGAAAGTTCCTTAATCACCCTAGATGAGCCTACATGATAAAACAAGTGGGATAACCTATGCTTTGGGATTCTGATAATTTCTGATGGGTGTCTTGGGCCAAGTCTCCAGATTTTATCAGACAATACTATAGAAATCAGTCAGAAATTATCAGGAATTATTACCTCAACATCAACTTCAAGATCACAATCTGATCGCTTTTTGTAAGGGGAGAATATGTCCTCATCAGTGACTGAATAATGCTCTTTAATGTAGTTGTAATCGAATAATTTCAAATCTGGATCCAAATCTCAGAAATAATAGTCTTTATAGAAGCTCTCTGGCTTCTCAGTCAGATGATCCAGAAAACTACTTGAATACACAGTCATTTTATAGTGATCTTTGTCCTTGAGTTTTGGGAGTCCGCCCCTTCTGAACTTGAAATCTGAGAATTTAACGAAGTCCATTCCGTACAGGTCACAGTCTGTATACAACTTCATGTAATGGGTGATATGAGCTTCATAAGACTGGAATCTGTAATCAAGGATATGTCCTGACCACAGTAACTCCTTTAAAGACTGTAACTTCCAAGGATTATAAATGGTGATCTTCAAAAATTCTTTATTCTTCTCATTGTTATACCCATATATACTTTGGCACCCTCGTACTTTGTCAATAGAATGGATCAACTGTTGTTCATAGATCTTACTGTTAGGGTACTTCTCTCTCGTGAACTTTGTAAATGCTCTTTCAATAATCTCAGCTAGAGCGTACAAGAAATCTGACTCGTTCTTACCCTCAACTAAAGGGATGGGATAGTCTGTGAAAAAGTATGGGAAATAATTGTGAATGTTTAAACAAACTCTTTGCCCTCTCTTTGTAGAGCCTATAGATATTCAACCAAAATTACCAAGAATTCTAGTCACTGGGACTCTGTCAATATTCCTCCTCATAAATTCTGACCTCTGGATATCCATGATCTGGTCCTTGATCTTAGCACCGACCCTATCAGGCTGTTTCGACCCACTTCTTGAAGGATTTTTCTCGAAGTGATAAAGTGAAGGGTTATTTATGGTGTGCATGTAATGGTCATGAGCCACGATTCTCACTGCCATGTAGTCATTAAACCTTTCTTCATTTTCCTTGGTCTCCTCCATTTTTAATTTGTATTAAATTCAAGAAAATTTAGAGACAAAGGGGTTTTGGGGTTTTGGGGTTTTGGGG